GGTGGGTAGAGGTGTCCTTGAGAGGGGCCAAGACTGCCTCGAGTGACCCCTCAGATTCCAGAGCAGACCAGAGGTTTTGATGGGGGGGATGCTGGAAGGAGATAGCCTGACATGTTTGAGACAGCGGTGGGGAGGGCCCTTCCAGGGCATGAGGGGGCTTAAGGGTGGCCGTCTGGGGAGCCAGAGTGGGGCTCTGGGCCAAGTGGGTGAGCTGGGCCTTCACTGTGGTCACAACCTTCAGGGTGGACGCCACTGTCGCCGGGCTGTCTTGCCCAAGCACTCTTTCAGTTGTAGAAATGGTAATAGATGGAAGTCCTCTGGGGCCGACGAGGGAATTACTAAAAAGGATTTGGCCAGTGGGGGCCTGGAGAGATCTTCGGAACTAAAGTTGGGGCCTCATGAGGAACTGGGACCCAGAACTGCAAAGCCATCAGGAACCCTGCCAGGGCGCCTCTCATTTCTGAGGAAAAAGATCTTTTCAGTTCCCTGAAAACTTGAGGTCGCGGTAGAGTGGAGGCGGAGGGGATTTTCTTTTCTCTCCTGAATTTTCCTGTATTCGTTTTTTTCTTTAAAAATTATAAAGTAACGTGGACATTTTAATGAGCGAAAAAATGCAAGATGAGTTAACCCGAAGCCAGTAGATTCCCTCCCTACCTCCAGTTCTCTGTTCCTCTCCTCACTGAAAATCCCCTCGCTTGGGAGAGAGTGGCGTGGGCGGGCGTGGTGGCCCCGCGCATCCCCTCTTTGTGGCGCTGCGGGGCTGGGGGGTCCTGGCCCCTGTCGCCAGCTCTCCCCCCACTTGGGAAGGCGGCGTCAGGGCTTCACTAGGAGCTGGGACATTTCCAGGAACCTGCTTCCCTGGCAGGCTCGCTGCACATCAGCCCCAGCTGCTGCCGCCTCATGACCCAAAGCCACTTCCGGTGTGGCCCGGTTTCCGTAGTCATCCCTTCATTGTGCAGCACTGGGACCCTTCCAGTTTCCACTCGCACAAAGGGCCCTTCTGTGAGCACTGGGGTAAAATACTCCTCAGCTTCTGGATTATTCCCTGGGGGTATGGAGCAGGGAAGGGTATTATAGGGCCAAAGGGTCTGAATGGATTCACGGTTCTTGTGGCCTACCTAACAACGGTTACCAAGGTATTTTAAGAGGATTTAAGCATCCACTGGCTTGGAAAGAAATTATAATAATCCACTTATGTTTTCCTATTCTTTACTAAAATTCTGTCCTTGGAAGGTTCAGGAGGAGGCGGATGAAGTAACACAGTACTGTTGAGTCACAGGTGAGGAAAGGAAGGCAGCAGAGTCCACGTGGGAGACGCTGACTTATTTCTCCAGTTATGAAGGAGGGGTGTTATAAAAGAGTCCTGCTTAGGCCTGGCCCGTGGCTCCCTTGGGAGAGTGTGGTGCTGACAACACCTAAGGCCACAGGTTCGGATCCCTATATAGGGATGGCAGGTTAGCTCACCTGGGAGAGCGTGGGGCTGACAACACCAAGTCAAGGGTTAAGATCCCCTTACCAGTCATCTTTAAAAAAATAAAAAGTGCTGCTTGGTTCAGGCTCCATCATTAAGCAGCCCTGAGATCTCAGGGTATGATCTGAAGGTCTCTAAGCTTCCTTTTGGCTGGGAGTCTTGTAACTCCACGTGCAACACTGAGCTGCTCTGCTCCTTCATCAGCAAAACGCTGCGGGAAGGGGTGTGTCCTAGAGGCCCACCTCCACGCATGTAACCAGCTGTCAGAGTGGCCCGCCTCCCACTCGCGCCTGGCCTTGGGAAGCCCAAAGATGGGGCAGCCCCAAAGTCCCCATCTGGCCACTGAGGCTGACCTGCGAGGCATCCAGTTGAGGCCGAATCTTGTCCCGACTTTCTTCACTTGCTTCGCACAGCACATTGTGGTGCGCGCTGCCCTGTCCAGCTCCCAGCGGGAAGTCAGAGCTGCGGTGCAGGGGTGGTGGTGGGTGGTGGTGGGCGGTGGTGGGGGGTGGTGGG